CTCCATCCCTTTTCTGTGTATGTAAAAGGCTCCAGTCCACAGTATTTGAGGTTTTTTTCACTCAGCAGTTCACATGCATGGCTTCCTTTGTGTGAAAGATTTGTTCGTAACTGATGGGAAACACTGGTGAAAATATTTGAAGTCTGTTGTTTAGAGAAAGACAAACTGTTCATTATTTCAGTCCACATCTTATTAAAACTTTCATCAAGCTCTTTGTCCATCATTTGAACTTTTTTCTTACGACATTCATCAATTAAATCACAAACTGCTTTCTCAATTCTTTCTCTATAAGTGGCCTTGATTTTCTCAAGTTCTTTCGATCCCTTCTTAATATCAGCAGCTGCTGTGATCTGATTGAACATTGATCTTTCAGTTTCTCGTCGAAGACTCTTGATGCTGTTGGAGAAATCCTCTCTGTATCCTTCAGCCAGATAAACATGACCTTCTGGCTGATCAAAGTATTTCTTCAGGTTTTCAAGGATCTTTGTCTCCCACTTGATCAGCTCTGTGATTGCTTCACTTTTCAAATTAGTGATAAATTCATTCATGTCAGATATTGCATATGTTGCAGTAAATGAACCAAAATTGGAAATTCTTGTCTCTGCTTTGGTGACCAATTTGTACATTTCCTTTTTGAACTCCCACTCCCATTGGTTGTACTCTGTGCAGAGCCTCATGTAAGCATCAGCCACCAGGCTGTTTCTGAAGCTGAAGATGAAGTTTTCATGTTTTACTGCGTTCCACAGGCTGGTTATCCACTCTCTGAACTCCAAGATGTCATTAGAAGTTGAGCCACACTTTCCCAGCTGTTGGATGATGTTTTTCTTGAGTTCATAGACAGTCTCACTGTATCCTGCATTGACTGGAGCCATTGGTGGGTTTCCATTCCAGAGTCCAGGAATGTAGCAGTTCCCAGTGTCTGGATTATACTCCATCACATCAGTGAAGCTCTTGTTTTCCTCTTTCTTCTCCATTCTAGCTGCTGCCTGGGTCATCTCATCCAGCTGTTCTAACAGCAGCTTCCTGTCTCTCAGGTTCTTCTCATGGGCTGAAACATCAGAAACGTTCTGGTGAACAAACTGACATTGAGGCTTTTTGCCGACCTCCTTCATCCTGAGGAAAGCATGCACCACTATCTGCAGGATGTCTTTCATCTCTGTTGAATTCTCCATGGCAATATTGATAATGGTGATGTCACTCAGCCCAACAACAAGTGTTGCCAGTTCATTGTCGTGCTCATAGCTGTTGTCCAGCTGTGCTAGCTCTGGTGACTTTAAGCCTTCAGTGTCGATGATCATCATGAAGTCACAGTTGAGAACTTTCTTCAAGTCTTCATTGACTTTGATGAGCAGCATGAAGGCACCTCTAGTGCATCGACCACTGCTGACTGCAAACTGGACTCCAAACATGGTGTTAAGGAGAGTGGACTTCCCTGTGCTCTGAACTCCAAGAACTGTGACGACCCGTATCTTGTTGTTTGGAGACACCAAGTCATTGAGCTGAGAGAGAACATCACTCACCCATCTGAGAGGAATGTTGGAAGCATCTCCATCTACAAGCTCAATAGGAAATCCATCCAGCAACAACTGAGCACAGAGTTTGGGCAGATGTTGCAGTTGTTGACGTGATGGATCTGTTTGTGGAAGGTAAAGAGAAGCTTCATAGATCTGACCCATTTCACGGAAGAAGTGCTGAACTCCCAGTGAGCTGCTGGAAAGTTGTTGGTCAATTTTTTTTATCTCTTCTTTGTTCTCAGAATCTTTGGATTTTTCCTTGTAAAGCTCCCTGAGGCCAGAAAGTTTGATTCGAGACAAGTTGTCAAGGTTCATTCTTAGCCATTTCAGAAAGTAACATCTCTCTCTTTGTGTGCTGGATATTGCACTAATGAAGCAGGTCATTGCTTTGGACTTTGCAGAATCATTTTGCTTTTTCCTCAGTTTTTCTCTCTCGTGCTGAAGTTTACATTTGTAATTTTCAATGTTTTCTGAACCAACTTTTCGAAGACGAAATTCTTCCTTTTCCAAACAAGTCAATTCCTTCCATATTTGACCCTGTAACAGAAGTTGATCTTTTGTATTTCATTATGTCTTTAATCTCTGCAGTGATTTCATCAGCTTTCTTCTTTCCATCCTGACACTCTGGAGAATCTTCATCAACTAAAATTCCCAGTTCATGTGCAACATCAGCCATCTGCTCTACAGACATCTTCTTCTCTGGTTTAATTACATCACTGACTCTTTTCCTCAATAGTTTAACAAAATCTGCATCATTTGTTTGTTTGTCTATTAGAATGTTTTTGTTTGTCAAAGCCAGACTTGTTGCCAATTTTTGAACAAAATCAACTCTGAAGTTCTTGCTCTGTTTGTTTCCTACTAAAAAAATCTTTGCTTTGTGGTTTTTGTTCATCAGCAGTTTGCAGTCAGAGTCCAGCTGGTCAAAGAAAACAAAAACTGCAGCAGATGTCTGACACAAAAAGGAGAATTGAGTTTCAAATGAAGCAATGTCTCCACGAAGGTTAGCTATAGCAACTGGTTCACTGAAGATGTCCATGTTTTTGTTTCCACAGGGAAGGTACCAGGTCAGTTCAGTCAGTCCATTGGATATTCTTCTCTCAATGTCTCCACACTCCATGTTGTGGTGAACAAACGTGTCATCTGGGTTGTTTAAAAGTTTGTTGAGGATCTCAGATTTGGACAGAGAGCACTCACCCAGTCTCACAAATGAGATCATTGGAAGTTCAGAAAGAACTATTCTTTCTTCCATGAAGCCTTTTGATTCTGCAAGATTTGAAGGTCTGTACTTCTTAACAATGTCTCTCATGGCCCACAGCATGAGGGTGCACTGCTGTGTATCACAGTTAGGAAGCAGCAGAGGAACAGAGAACTGACACATGGACATTTTTAGAGCCAGTTCTTGCTGAACAAACCCATCAGAACACAGAAAGAGAGCAGTGATTATATCCAGAGGATTTGGAAAGTCATCCTCATTTGAACTGGTAAGAACATCATAAAAATTTAATTCATCAGGTTCTAATTCATCGTCTTGGTTAGACATTGAAACTGATTTTATCTTTCTAGCTGTTACATTCACCATCATCAGTTTCTTTAAACAATACCATGGAAGATCTGATTTCCACTCTGGAGGCTCATCATTGATGGTCTTGTCATTGATCTCCAGTATCTTCCCCAGTGACAGTTTCTCCTTGTAGAACTGGTCCAATCCCAGTTCCTCCAAAAGCCTCTCCAGGTTGGACTCTGGTTATAAAAAGAAAGTCTGTTATCTCATTTTAGTCAAAAACAATAAATCTGAATTCATTTCCATGAATTTAAAATTATAATGTTAATACTTGCTAAGTTTTAACAGTAAGTCCAAAACCACAGATATATTAAATAGAGGGAATGCAACAGAGGTCAAGCAAAAGTATTTGTAGGTTCCTAATTAATGAAGTCATAAGCTTGACGCTGTCCGTCTTTCCCCTTCATCTTATTCAACGACAGAAAAAACCAAAATGAAAAAACAGACTGAATCCTCTTGATACGTTGAACTGTTTACTTCAGAAATAAAAACAGCACAAAATGTTATGTTCCACACTAATAAAAGGTAATTAAAAAGGTCAAAAAACTGTGTGGCTCCACTCCAACTGCCCAACTCCCTGTCTTTAGCCACACCCCAAATCTTCCACTACAATTAGATATGCAAATTCACAGGATTTCCCCAGAAACTGAATTTAGGCTTCTACAGTATTCAAATCCCTTCAATTTTTTTAATACATTTTGCCAAGAACAAAAATAAAATTCTATATCTCTAGGATTTTATGTGACAAACCAACACAGATTAGCTCACAGTTTTGTAAACTAATTTGAACAAAGTATTAAATAATATTGAAAATTATACTATTAAACAAAACAATTGTAAGTTTTTCTGCCATAACTTTGGTCAAAGGTCCTTCTTTTGAGCATTTTGCTTCACCCAGCATTAGCTGCTTACCCACCATAACTTCAGGTACTAAAAAATCTGTCCATTTTATCTCTAGCATAGACCTGGTGAATTTGGCTACATAAAAGATTAGACAAGACAGTAATTCATGTTTGCAGATCATCTAAATTTAAATTGACTGAGCTGTTTTGCAAAGAAGAAAAAAAAACATCCATCTCAAGAAATGTCTTGCTGGATGAGACACACAGCAAAGGATAGTTCTACGAAGTGATGGACTGGGGAGGAGGCTGTTATAGCCACAACAGAAATGAGGAGAATAACACATTTATGTAAACCTGTTTTATTTATTGTCAGTAAATGCACTTCTTAGTTTTAATTAGAACATGTATTTTACTGACCTTCATCGTTTATATCAGCTTGTTGATCGTCAGTATCAGTTTCAACACATGTTGGATCAGGGTCCAACATGTGTTGGATAAGATCCTTTGGTTCATCATCAGTGCTGGGTACCTTAACATAAATCACAAAATATTTAATTTTATTGTCATAAAATGGATTGATGGTTAAGTTATTTTCTATATATTTCAGATGTTTACAATGTTCCTGTGTACCTTCATTGTGGTAGAGGAATCTTCAACCTCACCCATTTGATCATAGTTTCTGTCTCTCTCTGAAAGAAAATTAGAAAAAGGTTTTGACTTTAATTTGCATCTGGAAACTCGACTCACCTACAGACCAGCATTACGCTCTGAGAGACAGTTAAAAAAAAAAATCACAAAAAGTTTTTGGTCACTTTTACAAAATGTTTGCAAAGCAAAAATGTATTATTTGTTTAGAGATAAAATGAAAGAGCAACAACAAATCTTTCAAGACCATTTACAGATCATCAGTTAGTTTAGCTGCCCTTCTTCAATTAATCTGAGATTACACTAAAACAATAAGGTATATTAATTTCTGTGGAAAATCAATCACAAGTGATTCACTTTGTACTCTACTGGCCAAAATGATAAAAACATTTTCAACATGTCTAATATGAATGGATGTGTATATTCTGCCTCTCTGGTTCCTTCACTGATTGATTGCAGTTGTTGTCCGACTTAAAGGTTTCAATACACATTTAAATGTGTTGAAACTAAAGGTGTTTCAATAAAAGAGAACCTGCAACTGTTAGGATTCAAGTTGGTGTGAGTGCTCCTCCGAATAGACAATCTTCGTGGGAGCGTTCCGGCAGGCTGACGCACCTGAAGCGGATTTCTGAAATCGGCTGCAGGATTCTTAAGAAGCGGTGGAGCAGCCATTCATCGCTCGATGGTCCCACTTGTTGGTCAGAGTCAATCCCAAGGTTTGCCAAGCTTCACGTTGACTAAGGACTAAGTAAATCTTTATTGTTTTTTCTCAGATTTTGGATGCTCTGCCTGGATCCAGCTAAGTTACCACGCCCACCCGAACACTGACACCGATCGCCCTCCGGACTAAACGCTCTCGTCTGCCGCCTGAGCCCGCAACCTTCTCGGAGCCTTTGCACCAACGGATCCTACCTCCTCCTCGGCAATCCTCCATCAGATGATCTGTAAGCCCTTCCCTCCACTTCCCTGTCAAGATCCTCTCACTCCCGCTCCTACTAACCTCTCCCCTCTCCAAGCAGTACCTGAGCCGCCCAGCCGCTCCCGAAACCAGAGGACAACTTAGGCTCAACATATTCCATAATAACTGTAAATAAACCTTTGAACCAAAAACCTTCCGGTCTGATGTCTAAACCTGCATGTGGGTAAAGAAACTCAAATCCAGCATGACAGAACCATCGAGCCATGTTGACCCAGCAGGTTCTCACACAAGACCCGGTTTAAGTTCAGCAGAACTCCTAGCCCGCCATGACGCTATGCTTCGCACTTTATTAGACCAGCAGAGTTCCAGGGCCAGCTGATGGATCAGTTGAGAACCACAGTCTCGGAACTATCACACAGGCTGGAGCAAAACCTTCAGCCTCAAATTACAGCCGGAGCAGCGGCCCCAGTCCTTCCTCCGGGGGTGGAGCAGATAGCGGTAGCGGCTTCAGGTGGGTCGCTCCGAGCTCGTGAGATTTCACCCCCGACACCAGAACATTATTCGGGAGAGATTGGAAAGTGTGGAGGATTCATTCTGCAGTGTTCCATTGTATTTTGCAGAGCTCCAGGCTCATTTCCGGATGACCCCGCCAAGATAGCTTACATGATCGGACTTTTGAAGGGAAGAGCCCTGAGATGGGCAGAAGCTAAATTTAGCCTCTCATCTCTTTCACAAACACCTTTTGCTACCTTCTTGAACGAGCTAAAGCAAACTTTTGGTTATGCAGAGTCCAGTTCAGAAATCTCGCATCAGCTTTGGAACCTGAAGCAGGGGTCCCGTTCTGTAGCTGAATTTGCCATTGATTTTCGCACTCTAGCAGCCACGTCTGGTTGGAATGACGAAGCTCTCAAAGGGGCTTTCATGCAGGCTCTCAATGAGACTCTCAAAGATGAACTGGCATGCAGGGATGAACCAGCCAGTTTGGAGAACCTGATAGCTTTGGCTATTAAGGTCGATAATAGACTTAGAGCAGTGCTTCTCAATTATTTTCCGTTACGCCCCCCATATCAAGAAGAAAACTATTCGCGCCCCCCACTCCCACCGTGACTATCCATGTCTACTGCAGGCAGTATCAGCTCCTCTGCTATGGTGTGGGGCTTTTTGCACTGCGCAATTTGGTACGCCACCTTATATGATGCTAGCAGCGCTCGATGGTTACTGAAGTAGCCTTCACAAAGCGGGATGACTGTTGGCAATATTCAGCACGTTTTCGCTGAAAAAACTCTAGCGGCTTATCGGCGTGATTGGGATGTAACGTATTTAAGTGACGCGCTAATTTATTTGGCTTCATGCTGTCCGCTGCGAGCATTTTTAGACACAGCAAACACACCGGTCTTTCCTCTTCTCCAACTGTAGTCACAGTGAAGCCAAGCGCTAAATACGCTTCGTCGTATTTCCTCTTCTTAGCTTTCGGTTGACTTTCTGTTGTCTCATTATCTTTGTCTCTCTCCGCTTTTCTTTTCATCCCTGTTAAAAACTTTTTCATGTTGGGGGTTGTTGAATAACGGAGGCCATAGACAGAACGCAGTCTGAGCTTTTTGTTGACTTAACACTGCTAACCAAGGCAAACCTGTTGTCTTGTAAGTCGTAAAATGTTGCACTGTCGCAAACGTGACAGACGTAACAATGAGAGCGCCACTGCCGCCTACTGTGCGCAATTACACTTTATACTAGTTCGGCCAAAAAAAAGCCTGTTCCCCAGGATCACACGCGCCCCCCCAGGTATCGCACCGCGCCCCCCAAAGGGGGCCCCCCACTATTTGAGAAGCACTGACTTAGAGGAAGGTCCCGAGAGAAGAGAGCATTTAAACCTGTGCCTTTTTCAGACAAACTCGCACCAGAGGTTGCTATGGAAACCATCCCGAACACGCCTTCTTCCGAGGAGCCCATGCAGATCGGCCGCACCAGAATTTCCCCCACAGAACGACAACGACGACTAGAAGCTCGTGCCTGCTTCTATTGCGGTTACTAGCCACTTCGTCGCCGTATGCCCGGCTCGGTTAAAAGGCGGAGCCCACCAGTGATAACGGGAGTCCTGGTGGGTGGCTGTTCCAGTTTGATCTCCCGACTTTCTCTTTCTGCATCCCTTTTCATCAACCAAAGGTCAGTTAACGTATCGGCTCTAATTGATTCTGGATGTGAGCAGAACCTGATCGATGAAAATTTGGTAAAGAAACTAAATATTCCTACAATTTCTCTCCCGTCCCGGTCCAAGTTTCCGCCCTGGATGGAGAAGTCTTGCCCGTCATTTCGCAACAGACTAAACCCATTGAACTTCTGGTTTCAGGAAATCATCGTGAGATTTTGATTTCTATGTGTTTCCCTCTCCGCAGACCCCTCTGGTGCTGGGTTTCCCTTGGCTGAGACAGCACAATCCTCACCTTAATTGGAATGAGGGGAGAGTGGAATCATGGAGCAGAACCTGCCACTCAACCTGTCTACAGGCCGCCCAGACGACTCCACAATTGGACATCACCCGGGAGGATGAGGAGGACATTCTGGACCTGTCCAAGATTCCCCTTGAATATCATGATTTGAAAATGGTTTTTCAGAAAAATAAAGCACTGTCACTTCCCCCCCACCGCCCCTATGACTGTGCTATTGATCTCCTTCCCGGTGCTCCGTTGCCCTCCAGTCGACTTTATAACATTTCTAAGCCAGAGAGGGAGAGCATGCTAAAATATATTAACGAGTCCCGCGCTGCAGGCATTATTCGCCCCTCCACGTCTCCGCTGGGGGCGGGATTTTTTTTTGTGTATAAGAAAGACGGCTCTCTCAGACCATGTATTGATTATAAGTGTCTTAATCAGATCACGGTTAAAAATAAGTATCCCCTTCCCCTTCTCACATCAGCTTTTGAACCGGTACAGGGTGCCACCGTGTTTACTAAATTGGACCTACGAAACGCTTACCATCTGGTGCGCATCCGTGAAGGTGATGAATGGAAAACGGCGTTCAAAACCCCGCTGGGCCATTTCGAATATCTGGTCATGCCTTTCGGTCTGACGAATGCCCCGGCCGTTTTCCAGTCCCTTATCAATGACGTGTTGCGTGATTTTCTGGATCAATTTGTGTTTGTTTACCTGGACGACATCCTGATTTTTTCTGAGACCCTGGCGGAACATAAACGGCATGTAAGGTTGGTCCTACAGCGTCTTTTAGAAAATAGTTTGTATGTTAAAGCGGAAAAATGCGAGTTTCATGTGCCTTCCATCTCGTTCCTGGGGTTCATTTTGGAGAGTGGGCAGGTGAAGCCGGATCCCGGGAGAATTCGCGCAGTTTTGGATTGGCCGACCCCATCTTCTCGCAAGCAACTACAACGTTTTTTGGGGTTTGCTAATTTTTATCGAAGGTTTGTCCGTAATTACAGTCAGACTGCGGCCCCCATGACCAGTCTTACGTCCACCAAGGTCCAGTTCTCCTGGACTCCGGAAGCTGACGCAGCGTTTTCGGCTCTGAAAAAGAAATTCGCTAATGCCCCGGTCCTGATCCAGCCAGACCCCACTAGGCAATTCACGTTGGAAGTGGATGCTTCCGATTCAGGGGTGGGGGCGGTGTTATCTCAAACCTCGCCTTCTGATCACAAGATGCATCCGTGCGCTTTTTTTTCTCGCCGACTTTCTCCTTCAGAAAGAAACTATGACGTGGGGGACCGGGAGTTGTTGGCGATTAAAATGGCTTTTGAAGAGTGGCGCCACTGGTTGGAGGGGGCTGAGCTTCCGATTGTGGTTTGGACCGATCACAAAAATTATCCTATCTGCAGACGGCTAAACGGTTGAATCCGCGACAGTCAAGATGGTCTCTTTTTTTTTCCAGATTCAACTTTATCATTTCATATAGACCAGGTTCTAAGAATGTGAAACCAGATGCTCTCTCCCGACAATTCTCCTCTGATGATGAGGACCCTATTGGGGACACCATAGTTCCTCGCTCATGCATCATGGGGGGGGTTTCCTGGGACATCTCTGACCAGGTCCTCAAAGCTCAGCAGTCGGATCCTGATCCAGGTACTGGTCCTCCGGGTCGAATTTACGCTCCTTCTTCTGTTCGCTCCCGTCTGATCCATTGGGCTCACGCTTCCCGTTTTTCTGGTCACCCGGGCGCCAGTCGGACCGCGGCATTAATCAGGCGCTCCTTTTGGTGGCCGTCCCTTCATAAGGATGTGAAAGAGTATGTTTCGGCCTGCCCCTCCTGCGCTAAGAACAAGTCCAGCCATCAACTTCCCAGTGGGCTTTTGCAGCCCTTACCCGTTCCGGGACGTCCTTGGTCCCATATTGCTCTTGATTTTGTCACCGGCCTGCCCCCTTCTAAGGGGTTCACAGTCATACTTACCATCGTGAACCGTTTTTCCAAGGCCTGTCACCTTGTGCCCCTTAAAAAATTGCCGTCTGCTGCGGAAACTGCTCTTTTGCTTATTAAGCATGTTTTTAGGCTCCATGGGATTCCTAGGGAAATTCTATCTGACAGGGGACCCCAGTTTATCTCGAAGGTATGGAAAGACTTTTGTGGCGCGCTTGGGGCCAAGGTATCTTTATCTTCTGGGTTTCATCCTCAGACCAATGGGCAAACGGAGCGCATGAATCAGGAGATGGAATCTACACTTCGCTGCCTGTGCTCCTCCAACCCCTCCTCATGGTCCTCCCAGCTGCCCTGGGTTGAGTATGCACATAACAGCCACGTTTCTTCCGCTTCTGGTTTGTCCCCATTTGAATGTTCACTAGGTTATCAGCCTCTCTCCTCCCATCGGACGAATCCCGGAATGCCGTCACGTCAGCTCAACACCACATTCGGAAGTGCCAGCGCATTTGGAGGGATGCTACT